TGCTTATATAGTGAATTATAAAAATATGTGGATACTAATTTCAAAAGAAAATTTCTCACATTTAACCACCATAGAGAAATTTTCTGCCTGCTATTGGCATTGTTAAAGTTTCGTGGTCCCACATTTTCAACTAGCTTGGAGTTGAGTAACTACATCAAAACAATAGCTGAATCTCCTGCAAGGAAAGTTGGGTGACTGTGTCATAACACAAAAAAGCAATTTCTCGTCAGAGTCCATATTGTAGATTTATAAATCTACCATTAGAAGTGCTTTGATTACTTCCGCTATATCTGATTTTGACCTTCTGCTATTCATTTCGAGTTTCAAAATGCAAAGAAGGATCTATAAGATGAGCGATCCTTAAGAAGATGGGCACGTGGTCGAGTGGTTAGAACTTTCGCATTCTAACAATGAGACTCGGACTCGGGTTCGAATCTCACCATAGTCGATTTGTGAGGAAGGACAAGTCCGAGACTTCCTGGTATTATCGAACTGGAGAGGTTCGATCCCACTTCGATTGGAAAGTGTCTGAAAATTGTACTACGGATTAACCCAAGCCTTGTGAAGGAAGCTGGGTAGACGAAAGTCACAAGTCCTCCTGACCGAGCGTTTGAGCATGCTGGCCTTGTTCAAATTTTTTGAACACGCTAGATAACACGCTATTTTCCAGAAACAGAGGTCTGCTCTGCATAGTTGCAGTATAAACGACATGTCGGCTCTGTGAGTGTTGAACAAACACAAAGGTGCCTGAGCAAGCGTCCGCAACAGGGATACTCGAATACGAGTGGCCAGCTATACATACATAAGTGTTCCTGACTTGGCATCTCGACTTCGATCACCTTCTCACCGACGTGACGTGGCGTTCATGTGTCTACAAATATCTTCATGGCAACTGCTCTTACGAGCTTTTTTTAAAGCGCACTACAAGATTGGCATCTTGATCCCACCTGTTTACTTTTGAAATAGCTAAATGCGACCCCCACTTCTAATCCAACAGTTTCTTTTTTCGCAGTGGTGTGACGAAAGACATGACTTACATCGGAGTTCAAAACGAGCGCGAACGTGTCTTGCCGGCAAAGTAATGACGAAAAGAAACATGGCCGCTATTGATGACGCAATTTATGCGCGCCTATCTCGTCCAAAACGGGGTGGTATTTGCTCACATGTAAATTTTGGCCGTATCAGACTGGCATAAAAAAGCGGGGTACGAGCAGCACGGCGCAGCTCGGGAGTCATTCGGCGGAGTGCGTGTAATAGAGCCGGACGTACGACTTGACAGACCGACAAAGGGGAAGTCGAAGTAGGCGCGACTGAGTTGGTGTCTGTTTCACGACTGCCCGGTGTAACGGCCGAGAAAGGGAATCTCGCAATCCATTTCCTTGAGGCGACCGACGACGAAGGAAGAATAGCTGATCTGCCGGCGAACGGCACACTGCACTTTCTAACCCCACCTCTCGTCACTTTTTTTTTTTTTTGTTTACTACAAGTGGAACACCCTTTCGTTTACTTGCTTCCCTTATAAATAGAATCTTCGTAAATTTAAATACAATGTCAATCGGTATCTTCTGCTATCTTGAATCCCGTTCATATTTTGTCCTTTCCTCAATCCTCATTATCAGCAGACTTTTCTCGCACTTTCACTCCCTGTAAACATGGAGTACTAGTGACCTTCCGGACTTGCTAGCGGTGAACTGTTTAAGAACAAATTTCAGGTGTCCCATAGGTCTCTATCCTTGGCTCTAGTAATTTGGTAATTTCTATCAATGACCTCCCTGAATACATCAGTCCTCTACACCGTATCTCTGTTCATCAAACAACTATGTAATATTGCCTCGATAGTAAATCTGATCGGTTCGATGAAGTCAAACTGGCGGCTGATCTAAAAAAAAAAAACGGGGGCTGCAGTCTTCTGTTAACTCTGGTCAAGGCATGGCTAATTAATTTTAACGTCTCCAAAAGGAAACTTCTCTCTATTAATCATCTAAGAGACCCCTTTCTGCTTCGCATCAACATGGCTGATGCTAACCTCCAAGAAAGTGGCTCTTCGTGCCTTTTCGGGCGAAGATTCTTAGTTGACATGAAGTGGAAAGATTATATTGAATCAATTGTTTTCGTCTGCTGCTAAGAAAGTTCGTTCACTGTAGCGGGCGAGATAACTTTCTTTCCTGGTTCTATCTTCCATATTTATACGTTAAATATTCGTTCATGCCTTGAATAGTTCTGCCACATATGGTCTTGTACTCCTGCTGCATATTTAAAGATTCTTCATATAATCCAAAGACTCAGGAATATTATTGGTCCTGATTTGGCATCTTGGCTTCGGTGAATTTCTCATCGCCGTAATGTATCTTTCTTATGCCTATTGTATTAATACTTTCATGGTAATTGTTCGGATATACTCTCCAATATGGCACCTAGACATTAAGAAGGTAAGCACAGTACCCTATTTGCAGCTCGGCCTAGTGATTTTGCAGTTGAGATAGCAAGATGTAACCGCAAGTTCTATGCTAACAGTTTCTTTTTTCTTAAGTCTCACTTGTGGAACTCTCTTCTGGCTTCATGCTCTCCAACAAAATTTGTTCTTCAAAAATTTATATGTAAAATGGACAAGATTGCTGTTACACACGTTATATATATATATATATGAATATATATATGTGTGTGTGTATATATATATATATATATATATATATATATATATATTACGATAAACGTGCAATCAATTTACAAATTCATGAATTATTCACAAAAAAACATTAACCTTGCATTTGTTTTTGTGTGAATAATTCATGAATATATATATATATATATATATATATATATATATATAGAAAATTTTTAATTTAATTTAAAATTTGTAATTTTTGTTTTTTAACTTCATAGTAAATTTCAAAATTAATCACTTAGAACGATTTCTAATTAAGTCCAATATTAACATTAAGGTGTTAATAAATTGTATACAAATCCGTTGTCAAGTTTGTTTGTTTTTTTTGGGGGAATTCTCATATACTTGTAATTTCATTTGTTATTGTAGATTACGTAATAGTGTTTCCGTATTAATGAGTGGGGATTGATTTTGAAGTTTTAAAACTCTTTATTCTACAATCAACACCATCACTTGACAAGACGCCAGAAGTGCTGAAACAAAATGGCTATTTTTTAGTGATGTTATAACATGTTTATGTTATAAATTTTGAAAAATGATATGTCCCGGAAAGGTATATATATGATCGAAGTAGCTAAGTGGTTTTAGCTACTGTAACCAAGTAGTACGCAGTAGCTGTAATCGAATGGTACTCATCGTAGTCGCAGGTAATAGGTGTAGACCAATAGGATAGCCAATGGCCTAGTCCAATGGGCGTCGTCATAGACTTAAACCCTGTCGTACCTACACATCCGTCTGTATTTATGACAGACACCAGCCAATCATATTTCAGTGAGGGGGAACTCAGATGTATGCATGTTTCATTATATCAAAAGAATACTCTTTGCTCTATACTGTATTGAGCACTATTTTAAGAATAGTGTTTTTGTCTACATCAATCATATACTAGGTTATATATATATATATATATATATATATATATATATATATATATATATATATATAGTTAATTTATTTATGCAAAACTAGGTAATCAGTATGGGTAGACCCAAGGAGGATGATATCTAGAGAGCTCAATGTAAATTCAGAGCAAATATGTTTGAATAAAAACAGACCACTTTAAGGTTCCATGTAATAAGTTATTTCACCACAACCCTTTTAAAGGGCTCTGGATCATCAGACTTTGCTTCCAAAAGTTGAAATGAAGAATGAAAAGAAACTTAAACTTTATATATGATTGGTGCGGTCCGTCAAAAATGTCTTTTGTAAGACGCTAGTTGACGGAGAAGTGTTTTATGGATGACTAGGTTGGAAGCATTAAATTATTCTTAATCAGTATTCTACAGCCAACAAGAAATTTGTGGACTTGAAAGGATTAAAAGTAATATATATATATATATATATATATATATATATATATATATATATATATATATATTTGGTTGATAGACTATCCAACCAAATATGTTAGCTCTATCTCTGATATTGAGCGCTTTCTAATAAGTACCATGCATATAATATGTAAATAATTATACATATATATATATTTATTTATATTTATATACACTTTTCACACACATATATATATATGTGTGTGTGTGTGTGTGTGTGTGTGTGTGTGTGTGTATTTGGACGATGTATAATAGTAACCGAAATAAAAGTGAGCGAGACTTCGCTTGAGGAAACCAGATAGAGAGAGAGAGAGCAGACGCTCTTGGCGAAACGCGTCGTTTTTTTAATTTTCCACTTTGTCTCATTATATATATATATATATATATATATATATATATATATATAGAGAGAGAGAGAGAGAGAGAGAGAGAGAGTGTCGGAAGAGAGCGGAGAGAATGAGAAAGAGTCGAGAAGAGAGGGAGATAAGAATACAATTTCTTTATGAATGTGGAGCAAAAATAAAAGACGTAATGATTGATTGTATCTCGTTGATTGAATGTAAATATTGACGGGAAATATCATCCACCTTCAATAAATAAACAAAAGAGGTAGGACTCTTTTTCATTAATTTCTGGCCTTCGAGTCGATTGAACAAAAATATTGAGACAAGCCCGCGCTTTTCGCAAACGGATGCAAGACAAACAGAGAACCGCTTCTTCTACTCGAGAACAATTTCCGAGTCATCGACAACGGAGCTGATGAGTTATTCAAATAAAGATATTACAGCGAATAAAATTGCAAATGAGATGAAAACTTATTTTCTTCTTATTGCAAGATAATTGATACTGGAAAAAAAGAATAAAAAACGCGTTCGTAAGAAATTGCGCATGCGTGATTTCTGAAAATAATTTTGTTTCGAATTTTGCTTTCATTTCTGTTTCTATTCAACAACTTTTTGTCATGAACACAAAAACAAAAACGGTGACCCTGCATGGAGTAATGATTAGTGAGTTCGTTCCGTAGATAGATAGATAGATAGATAGATAGATAATGAAAAAGACTTAAATAGATATATAGATACATAGATAGATATATAGATAATGAAAAACTGAGATAGATAGATAGATAGACATGAAACAGAATAAGATAGATAGATAGATAATGAAAAAGACTTAAATAGATATATAGATACATACATAGATAATCTAAAACAGACATAGATAGATAGATAGATAGATAGATAGATAGATAATGAAAAAAAACTTAAATAGATATATAGATACATACAGAGATAATGAAAAACTGAGATAGATAGATAGATAGATAGATAGATAGATAGATAGATAATTAAAAATTGAGATAGATAGATATGAAACTGAATAAGATAGATAGACAAATAGATAATGAAAAAAGACTTAAATAAATATATAGATACATACATAGATACATAGATAATGAAAAACAGAGATAGATAGATAGATAGATAGATAGATAGATAGATAGATAGATAGATAGATAGATGCATACATAAGATAGATAGATAGATAGATAGATAGATAGATAGATAGATAGATAGATAGATAGTGATAACGTAAGGTAGATGTGGTATTATTCTCCAATGCCCATAAAATAACGTCATTCGGTCTTGTATTGGGTGGATATTTATTTAAAGACATCAAAACCCTTAGACAGGTGGATATTAACAGAATTAGATAGACGGTGGGGGAAATAGAAAAAGATAAATAAATATGAAGACATTAAGATAGATAGATAGATAGATAGATAGATAGATAGATAGATAGATAGATAGATAGATAAGGAAAAGAAGACTTAGTCAGAAAAATAGCTACATAAATACATGCATGCATACATAGTTAATGAAAAAAGAATTAGATAATGAAAAAAAATCAAATAGATATATAGATACATACTTAAAACGGTAGATAATGAAACGTCTGAGATAGATAGATAGATAGATAGATAGATAGATAGACTAGAAAAAAGACTTAAATAGATATATAGATACATACATAAATACATAGTTAATGAAAATGACTGAGATATATAGACAGATAGATCAATAGATAGATAATGAAAAAGACTGAGACAGATAATGAAAAAAAATGAGATAAATAGATAAATGCAGACATATAGATAATGAAAAAAGACTTAAATAGATATATACATACCTACATAGATATATAAACTGTCAATGAAAAAAGACAGATAGACAGATAATTAACGCTCAGAACGATAGATAATTTTGATCAAATAAGAACAATCAAATGTCAGATATATACGCCTGAGTATAACTTGTGTAATGAGTTTGATCCTAACTTAATAAACTGCTCACTACAGTACACCTGGTCGTGAAACACTAATAAGCAAGGTGGGCGTACCGTCAAGTGTTAGAAACTTTGAATCTTACAGGCCTGTTCACTTTTATGGCTTTGTGATCATCCTGAGCCGCTAAAGATATTCCATGTTTATGTCTGTGTCAGAGTGAATTAAAGGAATTGCCGACATTTTGCGAGTAGACACCTGTGCGAAACCAACAGAATCTCGTCAAAGGTAGACAGCTTTAGCGGAAAGGCACAAATGCAGAATCTGTAACTCCAGAGAAACATCTGTGACACATTACAATCCGACCGTCATTAAAACGTGCACGAAGTCAAGTCGGTCCTAAATAATTTTATCTAAGTGTAGTTTTGCTTTTATGACCAGCAGTAAAGTCTACAAAGTAAGATCTTCCAATCAGCCACCCTCTTGACCCAGACGGAATAAAATTACAAATAAATGAATGAAAAGTTTCGGGGTAAGTGGCACGTAACCGGAAACATTAATATTCCACTCGCAGGCTAGAAATGAAAGAAGGTCCGTCACAGCTTTTTGGCGGTGTCGCTACATAAATCGGGGATCACTTGGTACTGTAAGAAACGCCAAGTTGTGTTTTGTCTTTAGAATATAGTAAAATTCCCAGAACAATTCTGTGAATAAGATAAATTGGTATCGGCATGGAAAAAAAAATTCTTAGTATAAAGGAATTTAATATTAGCCGGAAAGAGGCTTACGCAAGAGCGTCTCTCTCTTTTTAAATTTTGGATTTAACGTTGTTGCAGTTTTTTGTGTATATGTATGTACCAGTGAGTTAGCCCAAATGATTTGACTCACTTTATAGTCTACCAATAGAAGGTTAACCAATCAGAAGACGTAGAACATTCAATCCGTGCCCCCCTTCTTGGAGGGGTGTACGCGCATCATTATCATCTCTCAGTTGCGTCTCTGTCCTTGGACAGAGTGCGCTCAGGGGCTTCTCTGTCTAAGGACGGAGGGGCAACTGAGAAAATAATGCTGAAGAGGTACCCAGCCCTGGGGAACAGCTGCCCCAGGCCGCGCCCTTCCATTGCACAAGAGGGAGGGATCGGTGCTCTCACCGAGGCCAGCGCAACCGACGGTTGCGGGGGCTGTGGGGAATTTTTGTACCTACCCGGGTGTACGCGCTCGGGTCCCCAAATTAAACCGACCTTGTGTCGCATCTCGTTCTAGTGGGGGAACGAGTAAATACCAGAACATTCAATCCGTCGTGTATAAAGGCGGCCATTTTTTTTACTCTGCCCGAATGTCCAGTACCAGCTTGTCATGCGAAGAGGAACATAAGGACGAACTACGCTCTGCTACTTTTACCAAAATATCCCCTGCTAACCTGAACAACGCTTTCCTACTGTCTTCAAAAATATTCCCTGCTAACCTCTGGATTCTATACTCGAAGACGACCGTCATCATGAACAAGAAATGTAACTATGCAAAGAAAAACATGTCGCTTCAAACAGTTGAGAGTCTTGAGACAGATTTTCTCCTCATGCATTCTCACGTTCAGGTTCAGCCTGGGGGTTACTCTCTACATCTCATCACACAACTATAAATGCTGGGACTGTCACATAATCGACATTAGACTGTCGATTTTCATGCGATCTTAGATGACCATCCAATTCCGGCAGGAGAATGATCGTGATTCCCTGTAGATTTTATGCCCAAGCTCAGACGAAATGTTTTCGGGAATCGAGTCTACTAAACCATCAAAAAACTAATTTTCTTTAACAAGACCTGATATCTGCCTTTTGCCCAGTCTTTGAAATTAATTACAAAAAATTTTAAGATAAAAAGGAAGTTTGGTCTTTTTTTCTGTCTGGGCGCTAAAAAAAAAGTGAGCTCTTCGTAAAACAGGTGCTTATAAATCAATCATTTTCTATCCTCCCGAGATGTCATGCCTAGCGCAATTGATTGTGAATTAGTAGTTACTCTATGCTGTACATATATATATATATATATATATATATATATATATATATATATATATATATATATAGACTATACGTTCCTTACGTCTGTTGGAAGGTTTGCGAGTTTCCCTTTTGCTATTTTATATACTCTTGTGGAACTATTTATTGATATCCCCCCCCACCTCATTCAATTTTAATTTATATAATTAAAATTGTTTTTAGCCGAGTTCCACCCTTCCCTCCTCAGTCACTTTATTGTCTTCGTATTCATTTATATTAAATATTGCCAACGAATATCTTTGACAAAGCGTTGGCCGAAAGGTGCCTTTCATATGACGTCCACTTTCTTCAAAGATATATTGTAGCAGACCCGGTAGCATGCAGTGCTGGCCTATGAAAAGGTGGCCTTGTGACAGACACTACTCACGACTACCGAATCCACTAACAAAGTAAAAATAATAAATGTGTGATCTTTAGCGAGGAAAAAGGGTCATTCGACACATGCATAAAAATAGTAAAATATAGATAGCCAGGAGGAAACGACGAAAACGAGTCTGGTGGAAGACAAATATAAAACTTTATTTGAATAACAAATAATCTTGTCTCAACAGTGGAGACTACCAGAAAAAGTAAGGACTGTTCTTAGCCAGTAGGCAGATTGTATAATGTAGTGACTAGTAGAATGTTAATGTTCCGCGCCAAAACAAAAATCAAAATGGCTAAGGCGGGAAAAGTTTCTTCAGAAGGAAGGTTCTGGAATATAGTCTTCTTGCACAAAAGGTGTATGCGTACACAACAAGGAAAAATACTCACTGCGTGGTTTAATAATGTGTGTGTAATGTTATCTTTTTTTTAAACTTGTCCGTAAAGGTTAGAAATCAAAAGAGGTGTATCAAAAGTTCATCAATCTTCAGTGAAGAAAAAGCTCTACGATCCCTGATAGTGAACGGAGGAAAGTTCCAACAAGTTGTTCGCTGAAGGACAAGGAATTAGTCTTAAAAAGTGTGATGCCGACAGTGTCGTAGACTCTACGTTCTCTAGTAGAAAAAACGGAGGAAGGTTCAAACATGTTGTTCGAAACAAGTTACAATCACAGGAAAAATATTCGGCATAATGAACCAAGGAGTCACTAGGAAATTTTTGGTTAGTTAAGATATTCCGGCCCGCGTATGGGTAAGGGGGGCACGAAATAAATGAGTCAACCTTCTTCTGGAAACAGGCCGCCACTGACTTGAAAAATAAAGTTTGTCAGTGACGTCATAGAAATGAGCGGGAAAACTTCAAATTCTGTTCTAGCTGGAATCAAGAGCAGCGAGCAACCTTGTCGGCAACAAACAGGCTGGTTTACTGCTATATCTAGCCGAAAGTGAAAGGGAGGGGTGCAATCCGAGTATGCACGTAAAAATAGTTGGAATCCCTGCGCGATTCCACAATATATCAGTTCCTCGGGTACAAATCTCTGTTTATATATATATATATATATATATATGTGCGTGTGTGTGTGTGTGTGTGTGTGTGTGTTTGTGTGTGTGTGTGGGTGTGTGTGTGTTGTATATATATATATATATATATATATATATATATCCTAATGTACACCCAGTTAGATCAGGGCTACAGGAATGTAGGACGCCCATGACTAAGATACAAAGACAAGCTGAAAAGCATCTTGTCAGCAGTCAATATACCACATAACACCCATTGGAGCGGGTAGAAGGGAGATCAACGTGTTTTAGCGGACTCATCAATTTTCAATCTGCTTGTCTGAATCATCTTCAAGAAGCTAGAGCAATATCTAAAAGGTCAGCCAATCTAACAGTGATCTCATCGTACAATTCTACTACATGCTCCATATGTGGCCTCCTTTGTAAATCACTAGCGGGTCTTAAATGCCACTTAAGATTATCGCATAATAACTGAATCAATAAGATGGCAGATTCTCATACGTCGAAACCGACGGGAGAGTCCATTATATATATATATATATATATATATATATATATATATATAAATACATGTGGACATAATTATTCGGCCCCACATCCATAATTACAAATAAAGCTGTAATACCTCAAATTTTCATGGAATCTTCATATGTATTTTTTCACTAATGATGAAGGGGAGGATTTGAAAGAATGTACAGTGATGGCCACAAGAAAACGTATTTTTTAATGTCAGACTATAATACAAAAAAAACACCGAAAAACATTTAACATAGGACAAACTTATTGGGCCTCTTGACTCAATAATCAATCGTTTAATGTTTATTCTTGATAATTTCGTTTAATCATTCTAGCAACTTCCTTTCAAGATCACTAAGCACACTGATAGATATTTTGATTCATTCTTCTTTGGCAATAGCTTTTAGTTCCTCCTAGTTCAAAGGACATCTTTCCCTTACTTTTTTCTTCAAATGTGTCCATAACTTTTTAAATAGGGTTTAGATAAGGACTTTGTGCGGGTCACAGCAATACCTTAATTTTGATGTCATCTAAGTATTTTTTTTTTTAATAATTCTGTATTCTTCTGGTTTTTGACCTGCTGGAATATCTAATGCCGTTCGAAAGACATCTTTCGTCCAGTTTGTTTTATATTATTTCTAAGAATAACCAAATACTTCTATTTGTCGATGATACCCTGTACTCTCACCAGTTTCTGTGGACTAGAAGCTGCAAAACATCCCCAGAGCAGAATGCTCTCACTACCGTGCTAAATT